TACTATTGTATGCATTAGTGTAAATATTGCAGCATTTTTAAAAAATACATGTTTTTTGACACTCCTCCCATCAAGAAGTAGAGGTTACGTTCCTTCCCTGTAAATCTGGGACAAGCTTAATGACTCCCACATAACCAAGAGAATGCAGTGGAAGTGATGCTACATGCTTCCAGGGGCTAAGTCATAAAAGGCAAAGAGGCTTTCATCTTGCTTCCTGGAGTACAAAACCTGGGAGTTTTAAGACACCATGTAATAAATCCAGCTACCCTATGATTGCCATGCTGTGAGGAAGACCAAGCTAACCTAAGCAAAGAGCCCATATGGAGACAGGAAGAGAAAGAAAGATGGAGAAAGAGAAAAAGAGAGAGAAAGAGACAGAGAGAGAGAGAGACAGAGAGAGACAGAGCAACGAACCTGGTGGCCTGGCTCCTACTGATACTTTGATTGGTAGAAACAAATAAGTGCTTCTTACAAGATCTGTCAATCTGCTCTAGCTTATGGGAATACGAACTATTCCCAGCCCTGTGTAAGTACTAGAAATTGTTTGGCCCACTGCTTTTTGGTGTCTTTTCCCCAGCCTCATAGAGTTTCACGCTTCAATTGCAGAAGTAAGTATTCAGCCCCAAAGGGAAGTACTCAATACAAAGGAACACTCCCATAGAAGTCCAAGACTCTCTTGTGTGCCAGCCATGTCCTCCTCTTGGATACTCTGCCCATCAGCCTCCCCAAATTCCCATCTCTGTTGCCTCCATTCAGTGAAATCCCTGGTTTTTGTTTGGGCTCCCTTCCCTGTTCTAGGCTCTGGACACTGCCTCCAGATAGTAAGATGGGGTCATTATGGAACTTAATTCATTTGTTTCCCTTCTTTCAGGGATCACAGTCCTGCACTGCCTTTTGTCTAATGTCTGAAAACAATGATTTCATATATACATACATAAATGTGTATATGTATACATACAACCTCTTCCTAAATATATATAAGTATATATACACTTATGATTTATATAATTGTATGTATATATTATATATATTTTATGTATATTCTATCTAAACTATAAATATTTTATATAGTACATATTATATTATACATATTACCTGTAAATATTGTATGTTTATTATATAAATTATATTTTATATACATATTATATATTTTATATAATGTATAAAATATATATATATATTTTTTCAAGTAATCCTCCCATCTCAGCTTCTGCAGTAGCTGGGACTACAAATGTGAGCCACCACACCCAATTTATTTCATATATTATGCCCAACTTTCCAGGTGTTTCTAGTGATAGGGTAATTTTGTAGAAGCAGAAATTCAAATGTAACTGTTAAAACCTAAATTAAAAACTGAATTGTGTTCTTTTTAAAATTCATATTCAGAGGTGAAAAAAGAAGGCCTCTTTATACTTAACAGTAAAGCTTGTTGAAAATGTTTTCTCAGGTAACTGTTAGCATCTCTAACTTCTCCCTCTTTAACTGTGTATATTCTGGCTTCTACCATCACCACATCACTGAAACAGGTCTTACACACCCATCCATGACTATCTTATTAGTACAGCTAACAAATATACTTAGTTCTTTTTATTTTCCTTCTAGTTCATTTTAGTCTGAGTTGGAAGATAAGAGCTCTTTTCTTACTTGACCTTCTACAGCTGTGCTATCCACTATGGTAGCCACAAGGCACACGCAGCTACTGAATATTTGAGGTGCAGCTAGTTTCAATCTGTCCTTCTGTCCAGTCATCAGTTAAATCCCCTATATTACGTTTCTTTAAATCAACTGACTCCTAAATATTGTTATAAGGAAGGAAAGGACAAGGTGGGTGTGAGGTTAGAAGATAGTAGTTCGAATAATGATTACACTTCTTTTAAGTTTATTGAGAGGGGCTGGAGGTGTAAAACACACACCAGGTTTCCAAGACATAATATGAATAAAAGAATGTGACATACCTCATTAGTTTTTATGTTAATTACATGTTAAAATACTAATGTTTTAATGATTGGGTTAAACAAGCTATATCTCTAAAATTAATTTCACCTGCTTCCATTTACCTTTTTATATCACTACTAGAAAATGTACAATTGACTCACATTATATTTCTATTAGCCAGTACTACTTTCTAGCAACCTCTTGCACTGACAGGGTCTGGCGTTAAAACTCTCTCCTTTCTTGGTCTGTTGGTCTCTATGCTTCCCTAGTTTTCTTGCCACCTCGCTGTCTGCTCCTTCTTAGGCTTCTCTTCTGAGGCCTAATTCTGTTATTCTAAAATCATAGTCTGCTGCAAAAATCACCTGGGTTCCTTGCCAAAAATGCAGATTCTTGAATCTTATCTGCAGAGAAGATGATCTGGTAGACTGGCTGGGAGAACAGAGATTCTGATTCAGTAAAATAGAATGAGAGTCCAGAAATTTAGATTAATCCTTAGCCTTATTCTTTCTCATTTAACCCTACCCTATATATTCCATGGGTAACTCATCTTGCCTACCCCGTCTACCTCCAAGGATAGAACTACCACTCACAGACTAACATTTCCCAAAATTCTTATTTTCCAGCCCAGATCTTTCTCATATCCTGCTCCCTTCTTCCAACTCCCTATCTTCACTTGGAGGTACACTTGCTAAGTTTGAGAAAACTTAGTGTATTCAGTATTTAAATTCTCATCTCTAGTCTCCCTAGCCCATTCCTTCTTTGGACTTCCCAGTTATCCAAGCTAGAAACCTGAAATAATTCATTCCTTCTTCCTAACCTCTACATCTAATCAGTTAAAAAAATAATCTGACCAATTCTGCTTGCTTAACTTCTATCCTCTCTGCCTTTTAAAAGTCCTTCATTTAGGGTTTATCAATCTTGGCCCTACTGAAATCTTGAGCCAGTTAGTTCTTTGTTGTTGGAGGAGGGGGGTAGTCGCAACCCCTGCTAGTACAACAACAATGTGTCTATACATTACCAAATCCAGTGGAAGGAGGTGAGTGGGAGGGAATCACATTTCATCCCAAAGAGCCACTGCCTTGGTTGATGGAGGCCCTCTTCTTAATCATCTGCACGAGGGCAAGAGTTTCCACCTGGCTATCTCGCCCAGGACTGCACCTCTCTTCTACTCTCTAAGCTCCGGATAGTTTTACAGTTTTCACGGGTTAAAATTCAGTATCTCTAATATGGCATAAAAAGGGCATTATTTGTTATCTACACGCCTTTCCAGCTTTCCACTCTAGCCATACTAAAAGGCTTTACAGTTTCTTCAGGGATGGATGAAAGTCATAAGAAGTGTTAACTATAGACAGTAAGCTAGTAGCTTATGAGATAAATGCAAAACTCCTAGCATATTTTAAATATAGAATATGAGTAAGCATGTACTTTGTGAAACATAGACAGGATTATGTAAAATATATATAGTAAGTTAGTAAACTACAAGGCATGCCAAAGTTAAATAGAAAAATGAAGGAATAGAGAGTCACTGATAGCCAAAAATGGATGGAAAAACTAAGCTTTGAGCAATCATGACATCTCTGGGCTAGTAACTATGTTCCCGCTAAATCAGCCACCACTGGTCACACCTAGAATAGTCATATATGTACTCTGCCAAGGAAATGCAAATAAAACCTGTATCTGTTCAACAACTTACCTAGGAAGCTCTGGCTGTGACCAGGCATACTTCCCTGCTTCTATCCAATAAAGCAGGTGTGTACCATTGGCCCAAAGCACTTTGCACCTGTGGACCTCTTTGCTGACGCCTCATCTCTTAAGTATACCATCAGTGGAGAAGGCTGTTGTGGCAGATAGGATATAAGAACATTATTTAACCCATGATTCAGGTGAAGGTGTCCTTCCACTTGCTTGCACCTTATCCTAAGTGTGTCCACTTACCACAACTCTTTCACATTTTCACTGGATACTTAAATTGAATAGGTTATATTATTTAATAATCTTAATGTAATCTGTGAGCCTTCTGTTTCATTACCTTTAGAATAGCTTGCCTAGTTTACCAGGAAGCCGCCATTGCATCAGATTCGTTTCCCACATGAGTCCCATGCAGGCATTAATCTCCTCCCAGAACGCTCCTGCTTTAACCCCTCTCATTTTATCCTGTTTATATTCATGTGTTTCTGTTATGACACTTTTCACACCACATTGTGATTGTTTATTCCTCTCTCACTAGTCTGTGAACTCCTTGTAAGCAGACATAAATTTCATTCCTTTTGTCTAGTCATTAACCAAGTACCAACCACAAAATAAACTAAGAATTATAGAATGCAACCTCCTACAGACACAGCTGAAGAAATTATCCATTTTTTCCTTTCTGTCATTCCCATTCTAGGCATCAATCGCCTGCCTAGTCTGGGAGCACTATGAAAGTTGTGGGAGGACCACCGACTAGCTGCAGAAAACAGCTTACAGTAGATGCAGAGACTTACTAGCAAGCTTGGGCCTTAGTGGAGCTTGTCTTATTTGCTTGTTCCACATTTTTCACCAGGTTTTCTCCCTCATCCCGACCTTAAGATAATTAAAAGGCCAAGAATCTTCAATCTACGAGACTTTCAGTTCTCCGGGATTCTAGATGAAAAAAAGAAAGATACTGTTTCTGCCCCAAGAAAATTTACAAGCCACTTCCTGGAGCCTACATTTTACTCGAAGTAATAGCTATTTTTACAGCTTACAATGAAAGATGCATTTTGGAATATATTTCGTTTGAATGAAAGAAATAAAATGTGAGACCTTAAACAAAGGGTCCGTTCTTCAGATCCTTTTAATTCACTCACTCTCCTTCACGGGCAGGGGTATTTGGGTGCAAAAGTTTACTATTACGCACAGGTGTAGAGATTTACAAATACAATCCAATTAAGTGGGAACTGTGTCTCGTAAGAGACCGCCCCCAAGGACCTCTCAAACCTCCAACCCCGTAAGAGGACTGCAAAAGACAGCATCTGAAGCAAGTCTTGCCTCGCCTTAGATCTTATACCAGTTCACGCTGCCCCGCCCCTTCCGCCCCCGGAGGCCGCCAGTCTCGGGTCCGCTCTAGGCCTCTCCCGGACATCTCTCTGTGGTGGCGCTGAGCCTCTCTAGCTCGCTCTTGCCGTCCTCTCAGTGGTAGCGCAGGGAAAGACTGGGAAGCCGGCTGGCGAGCGTGGCCTGCAAGGACGCGGATCCTGCCCCGCCGGGCGGAGGCGACCTCAAGCTAAGGTGGAAGGAGAGCGGGGGAGGCCCTGGGGAGGAGCGGGAGAGTTGAGACGGGCCCCTGGCTGGCGAGGGAGCCTGGCGGCGTCACTGGGGACCCAGGGGAGAGGTGGAAGAGGAGGCTCGCACGCGTAGGGGGATTTCCAGTTGCTGGCCGGAACCGCTCACCCCCACCTCTACCCCTGCCCCGCGACGCCTTGGGTCAAAGCCCAGCACAGGTTCTGCCGCCTCTGACCTCTCCGAGGGTCGTCGCCTGTCGAGTAGGCCCAGGGCCTTCAAAGCTACGATTTTGAGTTGAACTACTTAGGGTGATTGTGGCCTTGAACCCCGTAGACGGCCTATATCTCTGCTGTTTTTGTTTTTCATTTGTCAAATCCGAATCCTCTCAACCCTGGCCGTTAGAGGCCAGAGGCTAATGTTTATTTTGCCATCCCGGAACCATGAACTTAGTAGATGCCCATTGGACCGATCTGCTGGTTTTTGTCATTTGTAAATAGCCGTGGACTAAGCACGAAATGTATGTGGCCTCTTACAGGGTTGGGGTGGGAGTCACTGTAGGGTTTGGGCACTGTGTCAGGCATGATAACAACAGCGGAAGGTTTCAGTTTCTTCATCTGTAAATGAGAGTGACAGTACTTAACCTCAGCGTGGCTTTGAAGGTTCCTGAAATGATGTTTGCCCTAAGCACTGTACCTGGCATGTCCTAACTACCAGCACTTGAACCAAATCTTTTCAATGATGTTATGGACTATGTATGTGTGTATATGTATATATATATATATACACAATTTTTTTTTAGGGACGGAGTTTCGCTCTTGTTACCCAGGCTGGAGTGCAATGGCGCGATCTCGGCTCACCGCAACCTCTGCCTCCTGGGTTCAGGCAATTCTCCTGCCTCAGCCTCCTGAGTAGCTGGGATTACAGGCACGCGCCACCATGCCCAGCTATTTTTTTGTATTTTTAGTGGAGACGGGGTTTCACCGTGTTGACCAGGATGGTCTCGATCTCTTGACCTCGTGATCCACCCGCCTCGGCCTCCCAAAGTGCTGGGATTACAGGCTTGAGCCACCGCGCCCGGCCTGGACTATATTTTTGTTTTAAATTGTCTTTACCTTTTTTTTTTTTTTAGACGGAGTCTCGCTCTGTCGCAACCTCAGCCTCTGCGTTCAAGCGATTCTCCTGCCTCAGCCTCCCAAGTAGCTGGGACTACAGGTGCGCACCACCACGCCCAGCTAATTTGTATTTTCAGTAGAGAAGGGGTTTCACATGTTGGCCAGGATGGTCTGGATCTCTTGAGCTCGTGATCCATCCTCTTTGGCCTTCCTAAGTGCTGGGATTATAGGCATGAGCCACCGCGCCAGCCAAATTGTCCTTACCTTTATTATTGGGTCAAGATCTTGAGGATTGAGACTCTCCTCTTCTCCTTTGGGCCCTGTGATTAATGCCAATTCTCATGTTATGTAGGTAGTCAGTATTTGAAGATAACAGGCACAAAAAGTTCAGTTGCAAGATATGTGACTGGTGTATGTGTCCATTGCTAATGCTAATTTGGATGGTAGGGGTAGATATAAATTATATTTTTATTAAATAAGAGATCGTCTGGGAAGATGCCTTATAAGTCGTAAGACCCTATGCCAAAAAAAGCGTTTAATTTTTTTTCATAAAACATTTCATGAAAACTTTTTTTTTTTTCTTGTTTTTCATAAAAGAGACATCAGTTGACCTAAAAACGAAGTAATTTTTTGTTTGGTTAAATTTCCTCTAAATGTAACTTTTCCCACTAGTGAGGAGACTGGTAACAAACTAAAAAACTATGTGAAGGGAAATTAACATATTGGAACAGGTATTGCCACATCTCCCTACAAATTTAGGGAGAAAAAGTGAGTTCCCTGATTAATCCTAAATTCCCTCTGCTCTTGTTTTGTTAGTGACTGTTCTGCTGTTTTGTTAGTGGTGGTGAGGGTGTTCTGCTTTAACACCTCGAAACCCCTGTGATAACGTCCTAGACCTTGCATTATTGGGAAGTCTTGCAAGCATCATGGCCATGTGTGAGTTTTCTCATCTTCCTCAATTTACCTAACCTACCTTCCTTACCGTTTGGTAATGGGTAGCAGGAGATAATTCTTAAGAACTCATTAAAACTACAGATGTTATAAAGTAAAGCTGGATAATTCCCTGAGCTGGCAGCATTCAAATTGTATGAGGAACAAATACTTTTGTTTGCTACCTAAGGTAGTAGAACAGATATAATCAATCTATTCTACATTTATTTCATTATCTTTTGACTCTTTGGTAGTGCTACAAAAATATTAAATGTTAATCCTAGAATCACAAAACATCCTATATTTGAGCACTAAAGTGATGTCAATCATAAGGCAGGAGAAAGTCTGAATCTTCTCCTATGCAGAATTTTTAAAATACAATGTCAAATAAATCCTCAGACTTAGGAGAGACTTTGTTCAAAAGGGTTATTGCAGGAGGAGAAAAGGCACTTTTGCAATGGGTAGAACCAAAAGATCTGCAAGAGTCTCCAAGGAGTGAACTTGCTAGAAAGAATTGGTGTGAGGAAGTAGGATATAAGGGTGGCTTGATCTCGTAGTAGATCTGAGAAACTTATTCCCTGGCTCTGGCTGAGAGTTGGCCAAACTTCAGGGACCTGGGGGAGGAAGAGAAACTAAAGTTCGATTAACGAGTGTTTTCTTCCATTTGATCTGTAGGGCCAAGCAGCTCAGCATATTATTCATAAATTCATAATTGAAGCAAAAAATGGGAATTTGGAGGGTCTTTCTCTTGCCTGATCACAGGTAAACAAGGAGGGATCCTTGAGTCTTACCTAACTCAAGCGTGGGAGGATTTTTTAAATTATGACTAATAAAGAACCAGCACAGGACTCAAGCAAATTCAACTTGTCAAAAAGCATCTTTATTATTTGTTATTGAAAAGTATTGAACACCTGGATTTTATTTATACCATGGTGAATTTCGAAGACTGGGGTTTTGGTTGATTTGCTTGTTATAAGAAGCTGGATTTTTTTTCTTCTCCCATGATGAATACTAGGTTTTATACTGACCAAAATGATTGACTGAAGCAAATAAATCTTTTCTTGTGTTAAAAGATTATTAACATAGGAACTGGGAAGATGCTATAACCAGTTTAACTGACAATAAAAGGTAAACATGCTTATAGAGCAGGAATATTGAAATAAATGTGCAAGTGAAGGCAAAATTGGCTATTTCCACGGTGAGACGGAAGTCCATCGAACCTTCACCAGATAGAATTTACAAGAATACAGACAAGTATTTTGCATTGCTATTGGTTATCTACAGTTGACAGTTGTAAAATTGCTCCAAGATGCTGAAAGAATCAGATTTCCATATAATCAGAATGTGAAAACCTGAAAGGCTGTGCTCTCAACAGTGCAGTTTTCTATTGAAGCACATGTTTTTCTCTGTCCTTAGTGCATCAAGTTTAAATCTCCTGTCCCCCAATAATCTTCCCTAGGTTAGACTTCCTGTAGGGCCGATACATATCTGTGTTTTTCTTATTCTTTTTTGATATCTTCTATAAAATACAGAAGTAATTCATTGCCTGTAAAATATAGAAGATATCAAAACATTTCAAATTTAAATTTTTTAAATTGAATTCTCTGAAGCAGTACCTGACAAACTGTAATGTGCTTACAAATCACCTGGGGATCTTTTTTGAAATGCAGATCCTGATTCTTTGGGTCTGGGGCTGATACCGAGTTCCGCATTTCTACTGAGGTCTCAGCTGATGCCAGTGCTGATTCAGGGGTAGTAAATAGTAATGCATTTCCGGCTATGTTAATTAAGGAAGGGGCCAGGTAAATCATCCTTATGGAAGAACTTAGCACTGTACTGTAGGTAAAAGGAACAACATGAAATTGCTGGACTGTCATTTGAAGAAAATAAAATATAAATTGTAGGCCACATTGCCAGAACACAGACCAAAGTGAGCAAAAACAGTTGCTAGGAAACAGACCCAAAGAGCTCTACAGCAGAACTTTAGCTTATAGGAGGGAGACAGAAAGAGCTAGAAATGAGGACATTAAGGAATATAACAGAGGAACAACAACCAGACGGTGTAATTTTTAGAAGGCAGACAGTGACCACTTATGATCAGTGTCTGAAATTTAGTGTGCCTTGAGCTGGCTGGACTTGGACTCTTCCACAGTATGTGAATGAACTGCCTAATCGTAGATCAGAAAGCTAACCTATGGAAGACTAAGTGTAGAACTACCTTGACTTAGGTGTGAGCACTTTTACTCAAGCGAGTGGGATTAGCTTGCTGCTGTGTTTTAATCTGTGTAAAATTTAGTTTTTATCACAGTTGACAATGTCTTTTATCAGATAGGATATTTTAATTTTAAAATGAGCTGATCCTGTAAAGAAGTAATTCATTGTCTGAAATTCAAATTTAATAGGACATCCTGCGTTTTTTATTTGCCAAATCTGGTGACCCCATTTTCTACATCTAGTAAGTAGAGATCTATCTTTGGTGCCAGCTCAATGTCCTGCCTGTTACTAAGAAAAACCTGAACTTCCTGTAAACAAATCACAGAACCCACCTGCTCAGAAGGCTGAAGTGAGAGGATCACTTGAGGCCAGGAATTTCAGAAATAGGTATTCAACTTCACTGACACAAGTTACAGAGTCTGTTCCATTAGCTTCCTTTAATCATGATGAATTCTTGTGAATTTTGTAGTAATTTAGTCAGGATTAAAGGAAACTAATGGAACAGAGACTCCCTAATAACTAAAGAAAATAATTTTTTACCTAAAATTAAAATTAATAGGGTAAATGAAATTAGCCTAAAGGGTCAAAATGTATTATTACTATGGACAGATAAGGTTTCTAAAGTAATTATATTCCTAAATCCAAGATGCTTTTCCTATCAATTATGGCTGAAGTAGCCCAAGTTTTGAATACTAGGAAATAGCTTTATGATAAAAAAAAAAAAATTCCATTATAGATCTGTGGCTAAAAATTGGTGATAGTTACCTACAAACGTAAAGAATCTGTGGCATTAACAAGATACTAAGCATTTTCTGTACAGTGCTGAGGAATAGTTGATCTAGTTTCCCTTGTATTGACTATTAAGAAAAGTCAGAGCCAGATTATATCCCTTATTTGCTAAGATACATTCCCACATAGTTTGTTGTTTTGTAACTTTACCTCTGGTTTGCTTTTTTTCCTCCTTAATTTATCTTAATTATCTGTTTGAAGAAAAAAAAAAATTTTTTTTTTTTTTTTTTGAGACAGGAGTCTCACTTTGTTGCCCAGGCTGGAGTGCAGTGATAAAATCTTGGCTCACCACAACCTCCGCCTCCTGGGTTCAAGAGATTCTTACGCCTTAGCTTCCCATGTAGCTGCACTACCACACCCGACTAATATTTTTGTATTTTTAGTAGAGATGGGGTTTCCCTGTATTAGCCAGTCTGGCCTAGAACTCCTGCCTTCAAGTGACCCACCCACGTCAGCCTCCCAAAGTGCTTGGATTATAGGCAGAGCCACAGCTCCTGGCTAGAAAATAATTTTCTAATACTGTGATAGAAGCCATTTTATCTGATTTGACTGGGGCCTATATTAGTTCATGGTAAAAATCTGGCTAAAACAGAATAAATGAATATAAATATACTGTTTTAATCAGCTTTAAAGCATTTTTTCAGTTAAAATGGTCCGTAACATTTTTTAACACTGTAAAGTGTATTTTATTTTTTAACTTTCTAAATATAGTATTTTGACCTAAAACGCAGACAGACAGACATTCGCCATTTTTTGTCACCTGAGGCCAGGGTCTTTACTTTTTATATAATTTTGCTGATTATTGTTTTTCTCTGAAGAAACCATATCCAAAAGTGTTTAAGATTTCTCTCCAGTTCTTTTTTTTTTTTTTTAATTTGGCTCCAAGCTTAAAAACATTCGTAAAATTGCTGAATCCTAGATTTCACAGTAGTACCACTCAGATTTCAGTGGTTCACATCTTTTCTCATTAGCAGTTTTTTTCCTAATGACTTGCATTGATTGCATCTTTTCTTGAGAATTCAAATTCGTTTTGTTTGCTTTGAAAAATATTATTTAGGAAAATTTCAAATAGCAACTATGGACAGTAGTGAGGCACTTATGTACATGTCACCAAGCCTTATTTTCTGTAGATTTTTTTGGGAAAAAAAAATGCTTTTTCCCCTAAGAAGTATCACGCATGTATATTTTAGTATATATTCACATTTCGTCTATAAATTTTATATACTATCTTATTTTTAAAAATTTTACCTTTAATGATGATACTATATAACCTTTGCAACTTTTTTCACTTAAGATTGTCTTTGATATTTATTCATGTAATTCATGTAGTTTATTCGTTTTAACTGTTGTAACATGTAGGAGTCCGTTGTATAAGTAATAATTTCACATCCTTTGCAATTAGGTTATTTGTCATCTTTCACAGTGAATGCTGAAAGTTATAACTTGTGCTCACATTGGAGATATTTTTCTCCAACTGACGCCCAAAACTGAAAAGAGCTCAGTCCCAAAGTGCATGCTTCCTCAGTGTTACAAGAAATTGCCAAAAACATTCTAAAACAGTTGCAGCAATTTACATTCCTACCAAAGATATTATAAGGAGCACGTAAGAGTTTACCACACCTTAACCAGATATCAGATTTTTAAATTGATTTCAAGCAAATGTTTAAGAATATTTAATTTGCATTTTCCTAGGAACAATGATGGAAAGAGTTTGTATTGCCTAGCTATATTTGTCTAGTTTTCCAGTGGACTGTCATTTTCTAATTGATTTTTAGAAGTGAGGAGTTACTTGAATATTTGCAATAATAATCCTAACAATGCCTTTCAAGTGTCATTGTTTTCTCCTTTAGTTATACAGAAATGTGTAAATTGTACATATAATCAAATGTATGTCTTTTTTTTCTTTTTGGTACTTGCTTGCTTGTTTGAAATTCTTCCCTACTCCCATGTCACAAAACATTCTTTACTTTCTCATAAACATGTTTAGTTTTTCTTTTCATGTTTAATTCTTTAATCCACCTGTAATTGATTTTTGTTTGTGCAGAAGAAATCTAATTCTTTTTCCATATAGTTAACTAGTTAAATTCCCTTCTACATTAATGTGTGATACCCATTGATTAAACAGTACCACGTGTCATATACCTAGCCCTCATCTATTCATGGATCTGTTTGTCTATGCTATACCAATACCACAGTTTGAATTAGAATAGGTTTATAGTACAGTATCTTACTGTATTTTACTACAACATTATCTTGACTTTCTTAGAACTTTATTCTTTCATTTAGACCAGCTTACTAAATTCCAAGGGGGTGGGAGTAGAAAATCTGATGGAACTTGGATTGGAATAGCACTGAGTTTATAGATGAATTCCTGGAGAATTGACATATTTTTTATAGTGAAGCACTCCATGATACATAGCTGCATTTATTTAGGGTATTGATTTTTGTCTTTCAGTTTGATAATTTTCTCCATGAAGGTCTTGTTGTATGTCTTTTGTAAGATTCACATATTTTGTAAGATATGGTGTTTTTTGGTTTCTAGCATCCCTGGTGAATTTTCTTACTAGTTCGAATAGTTTGTTAAACCTCTTATATTTCTCATGTAGATGTTGATATCATCTTTGGATAATATTTCTTATTTCCTCCTGTTTAAACTCTTATATGGTCCTAAATATCTGTAATAGCAGGTGATCTGCTGAAGTTCTGGTTTTACAGGGAATGCTTCTGTTTGATTATTAAATGTTTATAATAGGACTTTGGTAAATACCTTTTTTTCCCCTTATTTTCTTTTAGACGGGTGTTGAATTTTATCAAATGTTTTTTCAGTTTCCTAGATAAACTTGCAGCGCAAATTTGATTCTCTTTTTCTCTAGGGTGATCAGCCCATGACCTAGACCTCTAGACAAAATAAAGCAGGGAAAATTTGCTAGAATCAAGAATGATGGATCCATGTTCAGTTGGAGTCCAGCTTCGTACTACAAATGAGTGCCATAAAACATACTATACTCGTCACACAGGTTTTAAGACTTTGCAAGAATTGTCATCAAATGATATGCTTTTACTTCAACTTAGAACTGGAATGACACTTTCTGGGAACAATACAATTTGCTTTCATCATGTAAAAATTTACATTGACAGATTTGAGGATTTACAGAAGTCATGTTGTGACCCATTTAACATACACAAAAAACTAGCAAAAAAGAATTTGCATGTAATTGACTTAGATGATGCCACTTTTCTGAGTGCAAAATTCGGAAGACAACTTGTACCTGGTTGGAAGCTTTGTCCAAAATGCACACAGATAATCAACGGAAGTGTGGATGTTGATACTGAAGACCGCCAGAGAAGGAAACCTGAGTCAGATGTATGTATAGCAGTTATTTTTTCTACTGTGTGATTTCTACCATGTAAGATTTTGCTTAACTGTAAGGAAGCTATGTTTACATTATTACTGTATTTGTTAGTGTACAGTGAATTAAAAGGAGGGGGAAAGTGGATGATGTTTCTAAATGCGATTTACATATACTGAAGGTCAAGACTGGGGAATAAAGGAAGTAGGCCTGTGAAAGGAATAATAAAATATGCCTAAGACTCTAAGCTACAACTTTTAGTACTAAGACTTTAGGAGTAGGTTTGAGAGCATTCTGGCCAAGCCAAGATTTAGTTTCTTTTCTGATACCAAAGTATAACCACATGGGACATGGCAACCAGCAAGGGTCTTTGTAGCAGGATGAATTCCCCTTTTTATGAAGGACTTGAAAATCACTCCTTTAAAAGGAACATTGGAGAGGTGACTTAACAGTAATTGTTTTTTATTTCACTCTTTCTCCTTTGACACGATGCCATTCTTGAGTTTTTTAAATGCTTGTGAGTTTTCTTTGCGTCTAGCTCTGAATTCCTACTTGGTATGGTCAAGGCTAATTTTAGGATTCCCTGTGGTTAAAAAAAATACATTTTTACATTGTAAAGTATTAAATATTTTACCTGTATTCCTTATTTACATGCCTACATGCATATTTAACTGTATCCGAGCAACTTAAGATTTCATAAAGCCATGTTTTGTGTGGGAAAACTATGTCAAAGAAGCACTTCTCAGAATTTTTACCTGTAATGATTTCATAATTCTTACTGCTGGAATACTTTTCTCAATTTTCTCCTTTTTATTAAACCAGGTTAAAAGATAGTTGAAATTTGAAATTATACTGTTTTCCTGTTGTTCTCTTTTCAGTGGCACATCTTTAGGGCCCAATTTATCTGCAGTTCATACTAGATACTTGCTGATAGTGTCACTGTAGATGTTTTCACCTTATCTATCCAATGTTCTTATAGAATGTATCAACTGAGGCTCTTTCTTCCCCAAATAACAAACATAAACCCTTAAACGCCAAAATTTCCTTTTGCCAAAGCTTTTTAAAAAGATTATAATATTATTCTAGAACTTGAAATCATATTCTCTGCTCTTAGAAATATATAAAATAAGGCCGGGCGCGGTGGCTCACACCTGTAATCCCAGCACTTTGGGAGGCCGAGGCGGGTGGATCACGAGGTCAAGAGATCGAGACCATCCTGGTCAACACGGTGAAACCCCGTCTCTACTA